TGCCATTTGGGACAATATGGATGAACCTAATTGGTATTATGCTAATTGAAAAGTTCAGTCAGAAAAAGACAAATACCATAAGATTTCACTTATATGTGGAATCTAAAGAACAAAATAAACAAGCAAATAAAATGGAAACAAACTTATAGATGCAGAGGACAGAATGATGGTTGTCAGTGGAGAGAGGGGTTGGGAAAATGCATGAAGAAGTTGAGGTGATTAAGAAATAGACAGTGGAAGTCACAAAATTGTCAAAAGAATGTAAAGTACAGCATAAGGAATCTAGTCAATATTGTAAAACTATATATGGTGCTGAGTGGATACTAGAATTATAAGGAGGAACACTTATAAAATATATAATTGTCTAACCACTATGCTGTACACCTCAAACTAATACAAAATAATATTGAATGTAAATTGTAATTGAAAAATAACATTTTTTCAATGAAGAAAAATATATTGGGATAACTCAAATTTAAGATTTCTTGTACTGGCACACATGGATTAAATTCCTAGTTGTCAGAAATCAAAGGCAGCATTTAAGTCCAATGAACTATAAAGTAGCAATAAAAATATTTTTAGAAGTTTGTTGGTATGGTAAGCAGAACTCTAAGCTGACTCCCAAATTTTCATGCCCTGATGTGCACCTGTATCATTCTCCCCCTTTTAATTCCAGTGGGATTTAAGGACACACACATACCACTTTTTGTTGAGCTTTGCATTATTGCGCTTTGCAAGTGTTGTACTTTTTACAAATAGAAGGCAAGACCCTGTACAGCAGAAAGATTGTCTCATTTTTCTGCAGTACTGGCTTTATTAAGGTGGTCTGGAACCAAACCTGCCATTTCTCTAATGTATGCCTGGATGGAAGGTTACTCTGTGATTAGAACACATTAAATTACAAAGATGAGGCTATTTTTCAGATGTAATTAAGGTTCCACATTAGCCATTTTTTCATTAATCAAAGAGATATTATTATGGCTGAATTTGACCTGATAAGGTGAACAATTAAGAGACTATGTAAGTCAGATAGAGAGAGGAGTCAGCAATGCTCTTTGCCTGGCCTTGAAGAAACAAGCAGCCATGGCTGTGACTGCTTATGGAGATGGGAGGCCTGAGAAGCTGAGGGTCTCAGTCCTACAGCCACAAGGAACTAAATTATGCCAACAGCCTGAGTGAGCTTGAAAGCGAAATTTGAGTTTCAGATTAGAAGGTAGCCTTAGTTCCAGGATGTGAAACCACAAATAAGGAAACAACTAAGCCATGCCACAGATAAGGAAACAACTAAGCCATGTCCAGTTCCTAATTCAAAGATAATAAGAAATAATAAACGTGTGCAGTTTGAAGTTCCCAAACCTCTCATAATTTGTCATGAACCCACACATAACATGTATTATATACATTCAAGTTTACATATTTAGGGTTACAGGATAAAGTTAAGGAAGTATACACTGATTATTGCCATATTGTTTTGTTATTTTGTGTTTTTCTTTGACATTTCTGTTAAGTAGCAGCTAGGAGTGAGTGGTCGGAGGGTAAAATAAAGGCAGGGCCCTCTCCATTGCAATCTAACAAAGAACTTAGTACGGGAGGCTAGGAGCAAGAGGAACACATGTCTCAGCAGTTAACTCAGCAGTCCTGAGCTCGGTTTGGTAAGATTGCCTGGTGTCTTGAGCATCACAAGCAAATATAAGCGCAGGAGAAGGGGGGTCCTTGAGACTGTGCTGAGAAAGGGGGACTTCTGCAATGATCTTACTAAGATTGCCAGGTACAAGCAAGAATTGCACAGGAGAAAGAGGGGGACCTATGCCGGGAAAGGGGGCCTCTAACAATTTCACTAAGACAAAGAGCCTTGACTAACTGAGAAATAAGCCTTTGTAGCTGCACATTATTCCCAAGGTTTAGAAGGAGGAGAAGGAGCGGCACCTCCAGAAGCTGATAAAGGTATATAACCCCTGAACCCCAATAGTCGGCATACTTAGATTACCTAAGTACCCACTTGTAGCCTTGACTCAAGTGTATAGAACAAACTTATTAACAACTGTATTTCCTTTGTAAGTGGGGCATTTAGACTAGCTGGGTGCCTGCTTGCAGCTTTGTGCTGGTGTGTTTCACAGGGAAACTTGCTGTCTCACTTCCTCTATACATGTTTGTGTCTCACTTGAATCATTCCCTTGCAGCGAAACAAGAACCGAGGCCAGCCAGGGGGCCTCCTGACTCAGGCCTCTCTCTCATTCATAACCTTTCCTCACCCTGACCCTTTCAGTTTCCATCTAACACTGAGATATTCACTCAACTAAAGCTTTCCATATGCATTAGCCTATTTCAAACAACAACAAAAAAAATAGAGAACAAAAGAAGAAAAGTAGTGTCTTCTCCCAAAGAGTGTATCAGAAATCTCATGTCAGAAGTTACAAAAAAAAAAGATACATGGTAGAAGACCTTTATATTTAAAAAAAAAAAAAAAAAAGTCTTTCCTACCCCAAGACTGCAAAGATGCTTTCAGGATGAAGAAAAGCAAAACGCAGGTAAAAGCGGGAGGAAAAATATTAAAAATGAAATGGGTCAGATGATCATGTCCTGAGTATGAGTAATATGACAAGACTATGTTGTCTCACTGAATGGGTGACCAGTATCCTTTGTTCAAGCCAGAACTTTCCATCATAAGACTCTGAAATTATATGGGAGCTGAAAAACCTCGGGGTTGTAATTGGGAAGCAACCGAAATTTTCTTCTCTTGGTGGAAAAAAATTTTGACATAAATTACTTTCTGAAATTAGATGTCATCCACCATATTCAGCACCTTCTGTTTCCTCATTGCTCCTGCAGCTGTGATGAAAATTGATTGGTTCTCAGTAAAAAAGGCAGGTTGGGCTCTACACACCTTGCTGGTGAAGATGTGAGAAGAAGAATTTGAATGTACACTGGGTGTGCCTAAATGAAAACAGTTTGCATTCATCCTGGATAGAAATTATGAAAAAGGAACATCCTTGGTTCATTACAGAGAAAACCACTCTAAGCAGGAAAACAATCAAATGGAAGAAACAAAAATTCCAGAGAAAATTGCTTTATGGGAGGAAGTCATAGACATGAGATAGTTGGAACAGAAAACTAGTCATTTTAATTATAAGCTTATCTATACTGTTTTTTTTTACTGAATTTTAATGTATTATTTTGAAATCACATAGACAACAAAGTCAAAACATATAAAATACCCAGGACGTACAATACATGTTCAACAACTGAAAGATGTTACAGTCTTTTTTTTTCATAATGTAAGGGAGTTTTTCCTAAGTCAATCTTTATACAGGAGAGTAAAGAGTTCAGTTTGGAGTACTGTTATAGTTATATCTTGAGAAATAAAAAATAAAAGTCATTTTTCTCTTACTGGCTCCTGATATAAAACCAACTTTAGCTCTTTATTATCATTTAACTGAAATATAAAACAAGTAAATGAATAGGTATTTCAATATAAATTTTTAAAGATGTCTGTACCATAATTTACCAAAAAAAGAAACTGGTTTTTGAAATCTGTGAGACTGTAAAAATTCCATCCAGGTTTCAAGAATCGAACTTCATTTTGTTCCCAACCTTTCTATGACATACTCAGAAAGGTTTCTATAAAATGGGTCACTCCCTCTTCCAGAGAAAAAAAGAACTCTTCATATTTTACATGTAACTTTTAAGAAAAGGTTCTTGGGATTGATTAGAGATTAAGATCTTCAATGCACATGTGACTCTTCTACTGGTTGATAAGCATAAGGCAAAAAAGAGTACAGAAATAGGTATTGTAAATTTATGTGATCAGGGCTTGGAGTCCCTTTACCCTTGCAAACTCTGAAAGCAATCAAACAAGAACCACATATTTGACCAAAGACTTAAAACTGTTCACAGAGCTGAGGAACATCAGGAAAAGAAACACAAATGTGTTCTCCTCTCAAGCTGGAGGATCCTGAGGAAGCTGTCAGATGGTACTTTCAGTTCTACATTAAAGCATAGATATCCAAAAAGAACTAATTTCCAGAAAAGTAAGATGAGGACAGGAATCCCCAATTTAGTATTCCAAATAAAGGTCTGAAATGACGTTGATATCTATTATTCAATGTAAATTGTTTTATTTAAATTTTTGCAGAGAAAATGTATCAGAATGTATACATGGAAATATAATGCACTCAATATTGATCATATACAATATTATATCAAAACATTCATGAAATTATCTTGCCGCTTTATCATTTTGGACTTACATGCACAAATTTCATCAATTTTAAAACCTGTTTTCAAATATCAGCGGGGACCCCAAAAAAATCTAGAATTATCTTCCAGAGGGCAGGCCCCTGGTGGTACAGGCTTCGCCATTGGTGAGCGTTGTAGAAGCTCACCTGTATCAGCACGCCAGCGAGCATTGTTGTGAGAGGCTGAGTTTGGCTTCAGTGAATTTTTCTGAAGACTCTTTCAAAGCATTTGCCCATTTCTTCATGTGTGCTTTACGAATGCACCTGCCAACACGGTACTTAGTGTTCAGTAGTTTTTGACCCAAAATGGCATGACCCCCATGCCCCACCCACCCTGTTCACTCTGCCTCCCCTGGAGCTTGACTTTTTTTTGTTTGTTTCGCCCAAGGAAAAAAGTCCTCAAAGAGAAACGTTTTTGCCAATGTGGAAGAGGTGAAACAAAAAATGTCAGAAGTGACTAAAAGGCATCAAAGACAATGAGTTCAAAAAACTGTTTTGAGCAGTGGGAAAAATGTCTGGATAAGTGTATTACATGAAATCCAGAGTACTTTGAAGGTGACTGAAGTTTAAACATGTAAGAATAAATACATAATTTTTAATAAATAAACTCCAGTTTTTTGGGGTGGTCCCCTCTAAGAATGTATAAGACATAATATGGAACATTTTAGAAATCCCAGAAGTAGGTATTTAGTAATAACGTAAGAGGCAAACTTACCATTCTTAGTAATACTGGACCTTCGCTGCCTACCCCTTCTGCCTTAACACCTAAATAAGCTCATATTTACAGATATAAGGATTTTGTTGCTCACAGGACTCATCCAAAATATTGTTCCTTGTGCCAACCATTATGCAGTTCTTTGGGTTTACAACATGAGAGAATGAAAATCTGTAAAAAAAGTAAAATGGTAACATAGGAGAAAAGAAAATGAAAATATTCGGGGATTTTTTTTAAGATGGAACTTTAAAAAGCATTTGAATGAAATATTAACATACTGAGCCGTCATATTTTTTTTATTCAATAGCCACAGTTTTCACAAGTTCAAGTTCAAGATTATAAAAACTCAATTATTCTTCCAGTAATCAATATCATTGAGACCAGTATTATTTTTGTTCTTGCCATTGTCATTAATGGTTCCAATATATGATCAACCTTGCTTCTATTTTGTTCAAAAGTGTGTTTGCTAATTTAGTCTCAGAAAACAAATTAGAGTATAAAATGTGTCATTGAATGATGCTTCAAATACCATGTTTATGAATGGCAATGACATTCTAAGATTACAAATATGCGAAAACTAAGCCCAGAATATATGAAACATAAAAGGACGCTGAAAATATTGGGTCTCGCCAGAATAAAGAAAAGAATGGCTATTCTGTTTTCTCTGGACATCTTCTGCGTGTGAGGGCACGTTTTTATCTCTATGTCATTACTAATTATCTGCTCATATAAGTGGTGGTACCAAGGCAAAAGTAAAAAGTCAAAACCTCTTTTATGGTAACAGGTACAGTAACTTCATGTCACTTGAGCATATGTTTGGTTGTTCTAGGTAATGCTAAAATTGTTATTCTTTCATATATTTTCTCTTTTCTGTGCTCATGCTCCAGACAGTGTTTCTGGAATTTTCATTCTCTGGTGAGATCTAAGGATAAACTCATAAACAGCAGAAAGGCCTCTACTGCCAGAAACTTACAGATCTTGGGAGAGAGCAGAGCCATCTTCCCACAACCAGATGCCATGTTTTTCACTGTAGGAGAGTCCAATCCAGTAAAAAGTTTTACTGAACTTTAAAAAATGCTGTGTGGAAACAGAGTCAAACATATTAATCGGATTTGAACCTACCCTGGGGATGTCTTTTTAAGAAAGTGTCCAGAATCATATTCAGACTCTAAGTCACTCAAACCGAAGTCATTTTTAATGTCTGGCTTAGAAGGTATAATCACATGTCTCATAAGATTCATTTTCACCTACAAAGCCCATTCAGTCACGGTAAAAAAAAAAAAATCACAATCTCACTTCCTGAATGAATGAAAAACATTATAAGTGGGTTAGATTTTCAAGGAACATTTTTTCACAGGACATCAACAATCAAATCTGATTCTCAATTGACAGTATCATGAGGAATAATTTCTCATATATAACCTATTCGACCTATTCTCAGCACAGGCTCCTCATTCATCTTATGTCCCAGAATGATGACAAAAGCTGTATAATTACAAATATATATATATATATGATTAAAAAACTAAAAATTACAAACTTGCTTAGTTGCTTCTTTGAACAAAAATAAAAACCTGTTATCACTTCTTTAATTTCTTTCTAAAATTCCTCTTGTGCTTTACCTGGCACCTATCTTCATTTTTATTCCTACTTATAATGATTATTTTAAGGTATAAAAAATTAGTAAGTCATTATTAGTTCAAATTCAACCATTCATTTACTATCTAATAAAGATTTCAATCAAAATAGTCAACTTACTTAGATAGTGTGTTATTCTAGGCCAAAGAAGATATAAGAAACCAAAATTAAATACATGCCAGTTCATCTCTGTTTCGAAAGTGAAGTAGACTGGAGTTCTGAGAAGCACAGAAATCCCTGCTTTCTGCCCAAGTCTTTCTTTCATTGGAAATGAAGTAACAGTTGCATTGGAATCCAATCCATTTTTCTTGGCAAGAATAGCAACCACAGCCTAAGAGAAAAAAATAAAACTGAACTGATGACATTGTAGATTCATGTTAAGTGCTACTTATTCAGGTAAAAATCATTTATTTTTTTCTATAAATGTTCTTTGAGAATTTACTTCATTTGCCAAACTTCCAAAGGTAGTCATATGAATGAATCATGGACATTATATTCTAGAGACAGCATCAGAATTATATGATTTTCAATCATTTATTAATTATATTTAATGTTAATTTGGGTAACTATACATAAGAAATACAGCACATTAAAACATTCTGTAGCAGAGTGTAGGAAGTGAGCAAAAGTTGAGTTCTGCTGCGTAAATAAGAGTAAATTAGATAAAAGAGATATTTAACAAGAGTAGGACATTTTAACATATTTCTTGCATCAAAAGGAAAATTATGACATATATTTTAAGTATTTTATTTTCAAAATGAAAATAAATAAAGCAATTAGCTGGAAGTCCAACCCTTCCAATCCTACATTTAACCTTGAACATTTTATCCTCAGAGAGAAGAGTACACAGCATACACTCAAATCTCCGTCATGGTGCTAAAGTTACTGTGTAGAATAGTGGTGACAGGGGGTGGGAGGTGGTGGCAATGGACAGCAACTGGGTACAAACTTCCAGTTAGAAGATTAATGTTCTGAGGATCTACTGCATACTATTGGGTTCTATTGATAATTAACAATTTGTATTATACACTTGTTAGGTTACAGTAGATACTAAATGTTTTCGGGACAAAAAAATGTAATTATGTGACATGATGCTGGTGCTTCAGTGGTCATCATATTACAACATATAAGTGTATGAAATCAACGCATTGTATACCTTAAATGTATAATGTTTTACATCAATTATATCTTAATAAAGCTGAAGAATTCCCCAAGAACAAAAAGATAAAATCGTATAATATCACAGAAGACGATGAGACAACTTAGAGATAATTTGGAAAAATACATTTTAAAAATTGGAATAAGAGCTAGCTTAAGATAGAAAAGTAAGGTCAGATTTGCAGAAATCTCTGCACTATATTCTGAGTCTGCAAGAAATAGAAGCAAAGGTGAAGATATTTAAATACATAAGTGTACAAGCTATGAGCAAACACCAGCAGGTAGGATTAGCTTTAATATGCACTATAGTTTATTATTGATGTTACTTAAACATGAGCACTCACACAGGAAAAACATGTCATTTCAAGCTAATATTTTCCTTATTACTTAAACATATAAATGATGCACAGTGTGATTTAATAATTCTTACATTACAGAACAAAGAAATGAGATTATCATACAATTAGGTAAACTTGTATTTTACTAAGCATAATATCCCATTACCCTTCTGCGTGAGAAAAACAAGAAACTGTTTCATGCTGTAACAAAACCAGGGTTTTCCCAAGAATGGGACCTACCTTCCTGGGGTTCAGTGCTGGGTATCAGAGATGGTGTTGGCTGAACATTTTGTTGTATAAACACTATAAGAAAGTATTAGACATTTACTTAACAAGGGGACTAAATGGTAATGGAAAACTACGATAAAGATTTTTAAAAAGAAATTGACTTAATTAGATACAGGTGTATTAAATAACACACTGTTACGCCTTAGTAAAATTAAATCTTTATTATTAAATGGTTTAATCACAGTTTTGATGTTTATATAGACTTGCCTAGAAAAGCTTACCATTTTTCAAAACAATTCCCAAAATAGCCATCAACGCAAGACATATTGCTCCTATGATCCCAGAAATCAGCCTCCATGGAGTGGCCTGAGGACCTGTAGAAAAAGAGAAGAAGAGAAATCACTTAAAGAGAAAATACAGAAGCTAAAATTCTTGTAAGCAGAAACCAGAGAGGGAGAATCCAAAAATTTCTTTGATTTGACAACTCAGCCATCTTTCCATTGGAAAATGAAGATATTCTGTTCAGAACTTCACCCAATACTAAAAATTGTATGTGGTGTGCCTTATTCTTTAGTAAGATTATCTATATCTTTTTTTATTTTTTACAGCTCTGTCTCAGAAAGTGTATTTAACATTTATATTTAACTTGGCAAAGAAGCTAAGAGATCTAGAGTAAGAAGAGATGAACAGGCACCAAAACCTGCTTACATAACAGATACCACTTTAATTTTTCAACAAAAATCACAAGATAGAGTATGATCCTCTTTAGGTAGATGAGAAAATTTAGAATTCATTGTAATGTTATTTTTCTCAAGGTATCAAAGCTAGTAAATACCCAAGTCAGAAATCCAATGGTAGTTTGTCTAGGACCAGAGTCTTTATTTAACATATGCTATCACTGTCACAGTAATGCCACTCGGGGATGGGCCCTTCTGAGACTGCTCTGAGAAAGATCAGGTGCTCATAAACTTGTAGAGGTCTTACGGGGAAGACAAGACATAGAAGTATCTGGACCTGGAGCGATGAGAGGGCCCCCAAACAATGCATGAGCAATATGGGTTCATTTCACAGCACAGGGAATTATGATTACATACGCAACCATTTTTTACAAGGACATAACATTTCTTAATACCCCGCATTACTTGCCTTTTCCCCTAAAGCAATTCAACATTAGGAGATTCTGCATTAACATTAGCACACTCACAAAGCGTGCTGACGTTAACAACAGTCCAATATGCCAAACTGGAAATTTAGGTGGTTTTTGAATGTCACAACACAAAGGTTAATTTTTTAAAGAGCACTTGTAAGCATCATGTCATTAATATTTGGCATTCTCTATTTACTCTATGCTAGCATTAAGTTGTTCATAATTTAACCTGGTAAATTCAGTTTTCATTCAGAATTTAGAGCTTTTCTGTCATAAGTCATTCTTTAAACCTGTTGAAAAAGCTTCACAAAATCATTTCTAAGTAACAGAATGAAGAATCAGAGAAATAAAATTAAGTACAAAATGCTTTCCATATTTTTTTTCTTAAAGCATGCCCTGTAATTAGCTACATCCACAAGAAACCTTTTCTGCTTATATATATATTTTTTAATTTATGACTCAGGCTGACATACCTGCCATGAGAATGTTGTTCCAGAGAAGCCACCGTGTTTGTTTGTTTAAGAAGAATGGTGTTGGATCACAGAATTGAGCTGGAGGCTAAGAATCTGAAAGTTGTATATGAAGAAATTCAAAAGGAAAATGAAATCTGTGTACTTAAATCATATTTTTGATGTTCAGGAAACCACAATACAGGAACTTCTCACTACACTTGTGTAATACAAACTCTTTGACTATCACAAAAAGTGAAAGAAAGTTTTTAATGTTTGAACAGCAACCATCTTTTAAAAGTATTTGGAAAATAAGAAAAAATAAAGATAGGCACACCAAAGGTAAATTTGCTTAGTATAATAAAGTTCCACAAGAATTTTCCTTTTTTAATAATTAAAAAAATTTATAACCATTCACAAATTAAAGCACTAAGTATATATTAGCATAGTTACTTCTGAAAACAGCTTAATAATAAAAATACATAAATATACCCACTTTTCTGATGAGAAAACTAAGACAGAGCTTAAGACTCAACCAAAGTCACTAAGTCTGAAACCCAGGCTATGTTTCTCCAGAGCACACATGCAATATATTTCAAATCAACCTATCCGTCTTCGTCTATGTTTTATGATTTTGATTTCTTTTCTTCATCGCAGAGTACTTGGTATAGTTATTTCTCATTATATGCTTCTGAACCCTGAATCATTAACCCAGTCTTGGAAGGCGAAGGTCAAAAAGGTAGAACTAAGAGTGATTTCCCATTACTGTTCCATGTACACACACATAGACACACACATGTGCTGTAAACTGCCTCGGTTGGTCTAGGCCCACCCTTCAGTGCCTCAATTAGGTGAGCCTCAAAGCTTTTCTCTATACTTGACTCTCCATTGCTCAGTTCCCTTCAAGTCCTTTGAACTGCAGCTGCGCTATTATCCTTATTTGATTTAATATTTTAAGTATTATAGTTTTACTGTTCCTCATTCAAATAGTATTCTGATAGTTTAATTAACACGTTTTTGTCTTCAGAAGGATAATCATATTAGGGACAGATGGGTGAATAAGAATCTTGAGAGTAGAGACCTTGACCTATAATTATCTGGAAATACAACCTACCGTTCATCCCAGATGAAGAAGAATCTCAAATAAGTTTTTGTTGTTTTTAATATTTATATTAAATTATAATATTTCTATAAGCATTATAATATTACTATAGATGAAACTTGTGAGAGATGGTTATTAAACAATAACAACAAAAAAAACAAAACAAAGAATGTGATTATATTTTTCAGTTTCCATAAAGTTAAGTTTTCCATCTGTGTGGTTTGCATTGTGTGCACATAGATTCTTTCAGTGAATCACAGAAATTGCTAAAATTTAAGTTCTTGCCTAAGATTGTAAACATGAAAATTCTTCATCCATATTTTATGCAAATCCAAGTTAAGAGAACAAATTTATAAATGATCATTTGTCTACAGCATGAAGTCTTTTCATTTTTATTTTTATTTTTAATTAAGCTTATGGGTGTAACATTGGTTAATAAAATTATGCGGACTTCAAGAGGACAATTACATGACACATTATTGATATACAGAATTGTACTTACCACCCAAAGTCAATTTTCCTTCCATCAACATATATTTGACTCCCTTTACTACCTCTTCACCCTTGTTCCTCTGGTAACCACCAAACTATTGTTTGTGCCTATGAATTTCTGTGCTTTTTTTTCATTCATTGATTTCAGTTTTATATCTTATATATGGGTAAAATCATATGGTTCTTGACTTTTTCTGACTTATTTTGCTTAGCATAATATTCTCAAGATCCGTCCACATTGTTGCAAATGGCAGTATTTCATCTTTTCTTATGTTTGAGCAGTATTCCATTATACCTATGTTCTACGTCTTCTCAATCCAGCCACCTATTAAAGAAGACTTCAGTTCTTTTCATATCTCAGCCATGAGGACAGTGCCACAGCGAGCATCAGGGTGCACATATCTTTGTAAATAAATGTTTTTCAATTATTTGGCTAGATATCCAGAAGAGGATTTGCTGGGTCATATGGTAACTTTATTCTTAATTTATTTGAAAAAGCTCCATACTGTTTTCCATAGTGGTTTTACCAGTTTGCAATCCCACCAGCAATGAATGAGGGTACCTTTTTCTCCACAACCTCTTGTGAACTAGCAAAACCAACCTGATGTTGCTCATTTCTTGTCCCATACAAATAAAATCATTACAACAAAATAAAAGGTTAAGGTTTTGCTTTCAGCTTTAGTTCTGAATTAACACAAATATATCACAAAATGTATAGTCCGTAGCATTACTACACTTCCCACACTAAAGGACCACCTTTATTAGGAAGTTATTCTAAGTTTTCAGAAACAGGCCTGATGAAATTTACATCAATCATTGTTTGTTTGTTTTTTTTTGTCTTAGTTTCTGACTCAGAAATAAAAATTTATCAAAGATATGTTCAATTCAAGAACTCTAGGTTCAAGTCATACATAAGATAACTGAATATACAAACATACACACTCACATATAAATATATATTTGTGTGTATGTATATTTTAACCCCTTCCCTCAATTCTTTCTGAACTGTCAACATGAGCTGATTCTCTGACTCCTTCCTGTACATATAGGCAGCAGAATTGTTTTTGTGCCAGTGTGCCTGTCCCTTATCTCCGCTGGAAGCAGAGGTTAGCACTGCTGCATCCATATCCCTCGGGATATTTGGTAACCCCTGGACAACCAGTATCTGCAATTCAGTATTTGCAAACTTTTTTCTCCTGGTACTGTTGAAAGTCTTGTTAATGTCAGATATGACAGTCCAGAAGTGCTAGCAATTCTCACCTGGATGGATATCAACCAACAAATCTCAGGATTTGGTGCAGTCCAGCATCCTCAGCCCTAATATTGAGCAATTCTTAACATTGAGTTTTGTCCCATTTCCCAGAATCACTCAACAGTGTAAACTTCCGGTCTCCTCTAGTAGCTATATTCAAAGAAGAACTTCTATTGTGTTTTGCCTTCCCTTTCTTATATTAACACTCCTTTCTTACAACTCTGCACCTGGAACCTTCTTCTCTCCTTAGATATGCTTAGATATGAAAGCTTTGCTGTCCTCACACAAACAAATGGAAATATTTGATATATAAGTATCCTAGTTCTTCTTGACACTCTGATATGCAAGGACTCTATGGGAATAAAGGCTTGAAAACAAGAAATGTGTGAAAAGTGTTTGCCATTCTTAAGACTACAAAAAGCTTCCCTGATGTGAGGGAAAGCAGAATAAGCTAATGGTGAACTGGTGGAGGAGGGCAGAAAAACAAAAAAGAGAAGTCACAGTGGCAGGACTGACGTTGCTGACTGGAAGGAGATCTGATCTGAAAAGAGAGAATGCATGGGTGACACTCATGTCACTCAAGTGAGCGCTTCACTTTCTCAATATCTTCAATCACTGTGGGAATTGTTTAAACACGTGGAGACTCTATTCTCATCATTAGCAGTAGATTATTTTCCTTTGAAAGAGATAGCATCCATCCTATTTAACTCCCTCAACCACCTCTGTTTCTTTTGACATCTAATGATGTTTGTAAGCCTTTAGCAATAGTAGTAGTAGTAGCAGCAGTGGTAGAAGTAGTAGATTAATAAAAAATAAAGATGCAGCCCTAACAGTCAGGTAGAAAATAATATTTCTGAACCTTGTTTGGTTAGACAAAAGAGATCCAAGATTCATCCTGGGCTGGAAAGTAGTGAAACACCCCTCTACACTTTTACAGAGATGGCTGATAAAAGTACAAAACCCAGAATGAAAGTCACTTGCCCCTGGGATCAAAATAAGGATAAAGATAAGTAGAAAAAATAATTGTTCATTTTCATAAGCCATTCTGTATTGTGGATTTTTAAAGTACATGTATCTTTTGCATTTGCGAAAAAATAGACAACTGAGGAAAAAAACACTCCAAAGAACACTATTCATAAATTATTTTAAATGTGTTAAATTTGTGATATTCTATTCTGCATCTGTCATCGTATAAGATCATGTTTCCTAATCTTACTTTACTCAAGAGTAAAACTGGGCTCTGCCCAGTATGGCTTAGTTGGTGAGGCGTCACACCACCAATCGAAAGGTCGCCAGTTATATTCCCAGTCAGGACACATGCCTGGGTTGCAGGTCCAGTCCCCAGTTGGGGCGTGTGTGAGGGACAACCAATTGGGGATTCTCACATTGATGTCTCCCTTCCTCTTTTTCTCCCTCCCTTCCCATGTCTCCAAAACGAAATAAATAAAATCTTTTTAAAAAGAGTAGAAGTGGTGTTTACTTGACAATTACACTGTCCTTATACCTTAGAAAATTAATGAAGGTGTTTTGTCATCATGCATTGGTCTATTGTGTTGTAAAATGGTGAAATGTGGTCATATGTACCTCAAATTTATTTTTAGTGCTTGAAATATCCAATTGCATGCAAACTATATCAATCTAAGTTTTTAAATATATCTGTGTGACATTATCATAAAAGTGAGTTTTATAACATATGACACATAACATTTTTAAAAAGTGTTTTCCGGATTGACCAGGCAAAAAAGGACAAGTGAGTGACTTTTTTACTGGAAGTATAAGCAAAAACACCCAAGAGAAAAAGTTAAAAGTGCTGAATTAAAGTAACCAGGGCATGGATTATATTTCTACAAGTAGGTACGTACCTGACTATTGAGGTTCAGGAGTTACATACCTTAGTCAGTTTCTAGGTTCCCCCTCCGTCTTCCCCTTCTAAATCTTGGGAATAATGTACAGCTACAAAGTCTTTCTCTCTCAGTAAGTAAAAGCTCTCTGTCTTAGTACAATTATTACAGAGATCCCCCTTTCCCAGCGTGGGCCCCCCTCTTCCTCCTTTGTAATTCCCGCTTGTGATGTTCTCAGCACAGTCTCAAGGACTCCCTGTCTCCTGCACTCCGGACCGCTGAGTTAATTGGTGAGACATGACTTCCTTTTGCCTCTAGCCTCCCATATTAAGTTCTGTGTAGATTGTAATGGTGGGGGCCTTCCTTTTATTTCCTCTCTGTCCGCTCATTCCTAGCTGCTACCTAACAATTGCATGCATAAACTAATTACTAAAATTCTGTGGCACACCAAAAAATATATTAAATTTTTTTGTCAATCAGGCAAAAAATTGGTATAATTTTAATTCACTCACCTAGAGTGGCTATTGATGTGTTGGCTGTTGTCATTTTTTTATTTGACAAAGTAAGGGAGAAAAGGTCAGTGCCCCTGACTAAATAGATATTGCATGTTTTAAAAATTCTTGCAGCATACCAATGTACCTCTTGCCACACACCAGTTAACAATCGCTGGTTTAGGGTAAGAAGAGGTTTATAAGACCAGAGCAGAGAAAACGTACAAGTTGGTTCAAAATTTCTTAATTTCAGCCCTAATTCTCATCACCTAATTAATAAGTCCCATCATGTGAGAATTAGGTTAAGCTAAGAACCTCACCTAAGAGCTACAAAGAGCTTGCTGGCTACAGATGTGGCTTGTCCATCCTCATGTAACTGGAAATAGTTTTTCTGTGGTGAGCTATTGAGTAGGCTGTTGGCTTCTCACTCTCAAATAACATGCCAAATTTGACAAATTGGTCACTTCTTGAACTTCAAAGTTCAAGTATTTTTACTAAACATCATTGAAATGGCATTGAGCCTCTTTCTCAGCCTTTACACAAAAATATCTACATTTTAAAGCTCAAAGGTCAGTATCTGCTGATGACACGTAGGCATAAAGAAAAAGAGACAAGGGAAGTAAAAGGATTCTGTAAGGAGAGAAAGTCATATTAATAACCAACAGGAGATTATTCAGATCCGTAAAAATCCACCAGTCTAAAGAACTCACCTTTTAACTTTTGTTCTAAACTCTTATCCAATGAGTGCCAACAAATGCACACATTACCAAGCTCCAGTATCCTGAAAATAAATATGAGAAAAAAAAGAGTCATATAAAGGATTATTGTTCAAACTGTATAATTCTAATTCTTTAATAGAAAAATAGTCTAAAATTTATAATATTTGCTTATTGTCTATGACAATAGTAAGATAAGTTTGAGGGATTACTATATTCCAGTTTTGTGTTGATATTTTGCATTAAGTTATCCAATCTTGATAAACCTATGGTATTAATACTATTTCTTAAATTTCATAGTTGAAGATACATAAGATTATAGGGATAGATATTCAAAGTTAAGTAGCTAGCAACGGCTGAGCTGAGCCTCCCTAAACTCTGTCTGCCTCTGATTACAACAAAGTGTAGGGAGATGCTTTGCATAATTGTAAGGGAACATATCATTTTGCCTTATCATGGTAATTTTTAGCACTTGTTTGTACACCCATGTAACTGCATACACATTTGACTTGTTAATACCCGATTGTTCTTAGAGAAGTCAAACACAGATTTAGATAATTAAACCATTGTTGCCATAGTTTCGTATAACCTAAGTGTTATTTTAAACAAGCTTTTAGTTATATGTTTTGTTTTCTGGTTTCCTTGTTTTCATGTCTTCTGTCTTTGAAAAAGCATATCTTAATTTTTAAAATATCTGTTTATATACACTAACATCTATTTGTGAATTTTATGATGCTTTCAGATATAAAATAATTCCCATGAAGAGGATATTGACAGTAAGGTGGATGGTCCTTTTTAATGTATTTGGACTTTTTATGTATTTGGATTTGTTTGAAGTTAAATTTAATGGTAGAGGGAGATTACATCTTGCTCCTTCCTTCTACTGCTTGTGTGTTAAAATGTATGTGAAGGTGTGGGTGGTGTGTGTGGTGGGAGAGGTGAGAAACCTTTGACCAGGGAAATGTTAAGTACAAAGTTAGCCTTATAATTTGGCCATAGATGTTATGGGATATTTACTACTCACCATAAGTGAGTACTATTGTTGGATAGGACAGGAGTCTCAAGGTCTGTGTAATTCTTGCTAAATGCTATTCTTCCTTAATGTTAAAATGTAGCATAGTATTTTGCTGGTGCAGTTGTAAACAGGATGAGCTTGATAAGGAGCTCAAACCCATAAATGTAGCCAACTGCAATAAAAATCAATGTGTAATTGACTAAATAACTGATATAAGCAATGGCTAGGCTACCCATTGGGAGACAGAGCTTAGTATATGAATCCCTTGTCTCCTTTATTTGTTGCAGTAAATAAAACTATCCCGTCACTTGCTTTTCTAGAATTGAACACCCCAGGCTGCAAACGAGTTCAGTAACAATTCTTTACCATGCTCTAGGCAGACACTAAGGACTAGAATGACCTAAATAAATGTTAACTCATTTTAAGAATTCTGTCTAGTGAAAAGGATAGAAAATTATAGCATAATTTATTAATAACATGAGAAATGTATAAAGCATGATTTGATATGGTAAAGTTAGGTACAGTAAATCTGCTTTATGATGGGATGTAGAAAATATACATGATGTCTTGGATGACAAAAGCTTTGTCAATGCTAAAGGATTTGATTTCATCTTGTTACCTTAGGCAACTCAAACATTTTAATATCATAAATACTAAGTTTATAATTTATTTATTTAATGTGAATTTTTTTCTGATGAGACCCCTTCACAGTGTTGGAAATTTAGAAAAGAAGAGAAATAGCTTGTATTTTGTTCACTTTCTCCCAGGTCCTTTAAATGTAGTTGATATTTTTAGTCTTCCCAGTGATTGATATGAGAAGAAAATGATTGTTGGCCGTCAGAAACACTCAGTTGGAAAACTGTAAGAATGTTCATCAACAAATGGAGGCATTTACTTGGTTGTGTCTTTAAAATGACATGAATGTTTTGAAACTGCCATACATTAATCAGAGTGATTTTCATTCTTTCTTCAACACTAGAGAACAATCATATTTTACATTATATTAATATAATATTTTTATGGATACAAGTTAGGAACATTTTTAATGCAAAAGTGAAGCTGATATCTTAATGTAAATCAGTATTTTAAAAATGAATCACTATTGGAAAGATAGTTATAATTAAATTGTTAAGATTTTCCTTATAACAAGCATCAATACATGCTTTGAAAGTATTGGAGATTAAAATTGATTTAAGAAATGATACCTAGAAAAAAGAAAGAAAAATAAGTCTTCAAATAAAAACCCTAAAAAAAAGGAAGAAAGAAACAATTACTGGCTACCTAGTAAGTGGCAGACACACACACAAAGAAACAAAATTCTTGTTTTGTGGTAGTTTTACTTTATTACTAGAGTCTAACAATAAGACAAGAACCATGCATGAGTGAAAGAGTTTATCAGAAGGATAAATATAAAAGTAGAAGGAGGGTTTGGGAAGCTGAGAAAATATGATGTGTGATAAATTTTAAGTAAGATGGTGAGGCAAAGCCTCATTGTGAAAAAGAGAACAGAGCAGCTGAGGTATAAGAACCAAGTGCTCTGTGGCTTCACAGTTGAGGTACAAGACTCATTTGGTTCTTTTATCAAAATAGACTTCAAACTGTTACTAAGAATTGTATACTCCAATCTTAAAGGTGCTCCTGTAACCAAACAACTGTCTTTCACCACAAAAGCCAACCTCGTTGCAAAAAGAAAGAGGGTTTATCAGGTGTTGTGCAGTCTGGGAGAATGGTGGACTCCTATCTCAAAGCCCTTCTCCTCCTTCTGCCATGGAAAAAGTCCAACTGTCCTCAGCAAGACCAAGACAAAGCCAACGTCTAGAGTTCCTGCTCCATTTTATAGTGCAGTACTTTGGAGTCCACAGACAGCTGCTAAGGGGCCTTAGTCCCATCTGGGTTGTGTAGCTTGTTCCTGGCTGTTCATTTCAGGCCCCCTCCTATAGCCTGCATGTGGAACCTGCATGGCCCCAGGGCCGCCTGGCCACATTCTCCTGGGAGAAGGAGTGTGCAAACACACTGGTGAGTACATCACCAGCTGGGTGAGAGAGGGGGGAGGGTTCCTCCTGGAGGCCATGGGCCACATGGCTGATCAGGTCACATGGCCCATGGAGAGAACAGGCAAGTGCACCCTACAAGTCCAGGTCACAAGAAAGAATGAGCTACTTTGTTTTCCAAGATTATATAGGGTTGGGTGTTGGATGGAACAGGTGCTTCCTCAAAATGACCAACTTCCAAAATTTTACACTCTTTGGGTGGGTCCACCTTCCAACCAATCCCTTCTTTCCCCAGGCTAGACTGACAGGCCTCCTTGGTCCAGCACCTCCCCTTGTACCATTTTGACTTATATGGCCATGTGCCTGCCTTCCCCTGGTCCCGCCCCAATCTGGTATGGGGAGGAAGGGCTATTTCTTTCCAATAATCTTGCTAGCTTTGCATGTGCTCAGTCTAAGAATCTCCCCCCACCTCCCCACTGCCATCTTGGCTGATGGGGGCAACTCCCCAGCCCTGTGACTCTTCTATGGTAATACTTCTTTATACTAAATCTAGCTAAACCTAGAACAAATGGCCAAAATTGATTCAAGAATCCTGAATGAATTTATGATTCATTATGGAATGAATTATTGTTATTAGAGGTTTTAAAGTAGACTTTTTGGGTTGTTTCCAAAACAGATTAATCTACTTCTAATGAATAGTATCCAGCCTCCGTACAGAGGCTTGAGTATGGAACTCAAGCTTTTTGCCAGCAAATATACTCAACAAATTTCTGATGCTTTACTAGTAACAAGACATTAGTTACAAAAAATAAAAAGGAATAATTGTGGGGTGCAGGTGACCTACAATTGATATATTTTTAAACTTTGTCAAAGTTTACTTCACATTAGGCTAAACAGACAGACAAATGTATTTATAACAACAAAAATTTGTAGCCGTAAGGATGAAAAAATTTCAATAAAGAGCGCTGTTTAAAAAGCAGTAAAGGATAGATTAGGGCAGCCTATCCATAGCTGAAATACAAAGAAAGGAAAATCTATTCACATGTTAAGCCCCTTTCTGGCTCTCAGGATTAGGTATTTTGACAAACTCCTGACAGAGCTCGGAAATGCCTTTCTGGGAAACTCCATCTATTAGTCCTTTGCCCTAACTGAAGAGCTCAACAAGAACCTAGGAGTCACTATTCTAACACTGAAGGAAATTCAGGAGACACAGGAGAGCAGGTGCACATGAATAAGAGCCAGTGTTCTCTAATTTCAGGGCTGAAATACAGTGTGTCATAGCCAAACATGAGCAAAGGTAAGGTATGGGTGGCCTTTCTCGTATGAACACTAACTGCCTTTTATCTTGAAGGATAAAAGTGTTTCTAAATTAGTGTCCATACAGGTGTGTACAGTATTCGTCCATCTTGACGAGCTTGGGAAGTGTGTTATGAAATGCAAGCAATATCTTTAGTGGCAGCCACTATTAAGTATATCCACCTGCTGGCAGGGACAACAATGCCCTGAGTTCAGATTCTGATGTCCACCAGAGCTGGAGCTACGGGGGCCCCTTTCTCATTAAGGACATGGTATCTTCAGTCAGGCACCAATTGGAGTCCTGAAATAAGTTTTCAGGATCTCTTCTATTTTAGTTCCTCTCTTAAGCCATCATTTAAGAATGACTAACCTGTCTCCTTGTGGACATGATTGTTCTGACTGTTTTAATAGCTGAGATTTCAAATAAATTTATTATTTCAAATTTCTAGTTTTCAGAGATCCTCTGGTCCATGACTCTGTAGTCACAAGGCATAATTCCCACGATCACCTATCATTCACCATCCCATTCTGCTGAGTGCTTCTCTGGAAGGAAGTGCCTCTCATTTCCAAAGAAGATGAAAAAAACAAAACAAAACAAAACAAACAAACAAAAAACCCACTTGTTTCACTTCCAAAAGGCCATTCCTTAGAAAAGAGTAATTTCTGCCCCCACTGGGCACTAACCATTCAGTAATAAAATAAGACAAACACCATAAAAGGTACATGATACAACACAAGGAAACTCAGGGATAGTAGAATGAACATGGGGCCTCAGATTCTGGTCATCCCACAGAGAGGGAGGCTTGGCTGGGCACAACTAAAGCCACCGCAGACAGTGCTGTATGCACGCAATTCTGATGAATAGATTTATAAAGAGGTTGAGGATTTCAGGAAGCAGCTAACCTCAACCATGTCCTCCAGGCCAGACAGTAGGCTATCAACTCAAAAAAGTAGTAAGTGAAAAAGTTCAATTGTTAAAATTTTTTTTTTGCCTCAGATACAAAAGATACGCATTATAAAGTATTAAAGAAACACATCAAAGAGTTACATTAAAACTTTTAGAGTAACCAGTTAGGGTTTATCATACATTTCTTCTCATGTACCAATTTACATCATTTTGAATATTTTTCAGCTCCAAATTTAACCTCTGATATACAAAAACATGAATGTGGTCCTTGAAAACTCCTAAGGTATGGAAGAAATAATTCATTAATGCATCATTTATACATTAAATGTTTATTCTTAGGATTTGTGAGAATAGTTTAGTGTATTATCATATAAAGTTTTTAGCACCTATTAAGTTATCAGAATGTTTATGATATATATATATAGACACATATATATCATGTATAATATATATTCATGATATCATGTATAAACGAGGTCTGTCTGGAAAAAGTTGAGCTATTGTTAATATAGGAGAACAGTTTGTGAGACACTGATATAAGCTGGCAGCCAGGAGTATAGACTATAATGTGCATGAGTGAACAATGACAACTTCACTGTACTAGACAATGAGGGTGGTAGATGCTGTTGAATGAGCATGTGTACTGTGTGGCCATCGCATTCAAAATGACTGAGTGAGTAGAGCAATAAATCTGCATCAAATTTTACATGAAGCTTGAATATTCTTCCACAAAGGAATTATCGAATGATTCAGAAGGCCACAGCTATGGGCAACTGGTGATTGGCAGCTTCATCACAACAATGCAGCCAGCTCATGCATCATACCTCATGCAGAGTATTTTGGCAAAACATCAAATCACCCAGGTGACTCAGCCTCCCTACAGCACAGATTTGGCACCCTGAGAATTCTGGCTTTCCTCAAAACTAAAATCATCCTCAGTGATTTGGGAGATGGGGAAGGAATTTCACATCATCGATGAGATTCAAGAAAATACAATGAAGCAGCTGATGGTGATTGAGAGAACTGTGTGTGGTCCCAAGATGCCCACTTTGAAGGCAACTAAGGCATCATTGTCCTACATACAATGTTTCTTGTATCTTGTACCTTCTTAAATAAATGTCTCTATTTTTTCATACTACATGGCTGAATACCTTCTGGGCCTACCTTTTACATAGAATTTTATAATATACACATATATTATGTGTAGATATATATGTACATGATCTCATAGTTTAGAGACCATTATTTACAGTACATATGAAGATTAAACTTTACTGAAAATGATGTCTGGATTCTGATATGAATCCAGATGTCATTATGAACTCAATGTACTCTATGTCGGTGAAAGGCACTCTGCATAGCACAAAATATTTCCAACCGCAAACTTGCTGCTTCTTGAAATAACACTTAACACCTACACTAGCCTTGATGTGACCATACAACTTTGGGGATGAGGTGAATGAGTATTGGGCAGAGAAAACATCGTGCCTGAGAAAAAGAACAAGAAACTACAGCAAAGTTGTTTACCTGGACAAGGGATACAATAAAGCTTAAGAAGAAAGACCACAGATGAGGTGTACACCCTGGATGTGGGTGGTCATTATCACTTTAACTGTCATTATCTGCGTCATTATCATTTGGACAAACATGACCACAGGAAATGAGACTAAATTCAGAATCATGACAGCTTTTACCCACTAAGTCAGGAAGAGAAAAGCTAGAAACACAAAGAAAAACAACATGAAGGTCATAAAGCATTGAGTAGTCTGTAAATACTGGAGTGGTATTTACATGAGATTTCTGGGGTTTTTTACCTGCAATATCTCTCAAACATGCTCTTCAGCCTTAGATCTCACAGCCTTTGCACAAGTTGTACAGCTTCCACCCTGCACGCAAAGATTTTAGAGGCTGGTTCTTTCATTTCACTCAGGGCTTACTTAAGTGACACCCCTGTGACTACTTCTGTGGTCACCCTTTTTCAGTGTGTACCCACATCCTTCCATATAATCTACAATATTTTCTACAATAGATAAAGAAACCAAAGTTTCTTTATGAGACGAACAACTAAGATTCAAAACATAAAATGACACAGTATTGCTACATGGAAATTTTATATTAAGTGTGTTTTTATTTGATATTTGTAACTTTATGGAAAATGTATTTGTTTATTACATAACGTGGAGATTTACCAGGATTATAGTTAAATAGTTAACTATAGTTAAATTAATGAGGTAATTACACTTTAATAAATACAATGAACAGAATAATGGCATATAATCATCAGAGGACTTGATTTGCAAATCAACAAGAATACTAGATAACCAGAAAGATTAAAATTAGAAGAGACTATAGGTTATTGATATTTTAAGAGAATTCAGGTAAAAGAAATTATATTTGTATGGTATTCACTATTCCTCAGGATTCCAAAATCCTATTCATATTCATGTAACCAAAGCAATTAAAATAATTCAGATACTGCATGTATCAATTTAGGATCGAGGTTTCTCTATATTTCCCTTTAAACCTGAATGCACTTTTTTTCTTTGTCTGGTTTCTTAGCATTGACAGTGATGTATGCAATTCTCTGATAACTCAGTTTTTCAGCCATATTTAGTCATAAGAATTGGTCATTTCAGCAACTCAAATTTCCAATTGGACTACATTTCAAGCCCACCTGGAAAATCCAACCTACTCTCCTTCTCTCAAGATTCTTACCTTCATCACCTCTTCAACGTTCTTTTTTGTTCCAAAGGTGTTATTTACAGTTTCTAGTGATTGTGTCCTGGACATTTGGGGAGACATCACTCAGCTAACCACAGAATCCAGGATTCCCCCAGGGTTGCTCCCTGCCCTCCATAGGCCCCTTGAGCCCACAAGAACCTCTCAGACATAGTTTATCCCAGTATTTCAGACATGCGATGTGTTCCCAGTGGAACTTCCACTACTTTGTCAACCATAGGCTACTCCAGGGGGCACGATCCTGGTAACTTGTATTCATAAAGCCACACCCACTTCTATCCTCCATGCTTCGTTGCTGCATCCTGTCATTCTGGAAGCTAAATTCAAATAACTGCTTCACCCAGGCTTCCTTGCCCTCTGTTTCTGGCTGGTGTCCACCATTGGGAGACGTTGGCAGGAGTTCAGAAGCTGGGCTAAGGAGAGAGCAGACTAAGTATTTAATTCTCCAGGTTCTGGCAGTGACTAGAACCTCTCCTATGAATTCTTGGCATCTTCTGACAGTAAACAGTGGATCACAATGTGATCATTATCTTGACATCCTACAGCGTTGCCTAGAGTATATGCAGCTTAAAAACATATTTGATTTATTTTATTTAAAGAAATTTTAAAAAATGAGTTCTGATAAAGTTCTCTGTGGTAGTTTTCTAGAACATTGGTTGCTAAAAATAGATTTGTCCCATAATTACAAAATCAATAAACAAACCATCTCAATTTTTACATGGCCCGTGCTGCATTTTTTTTTTCCAGAAAGAGTATTAGATTTTCTTCTGCATTTAATCCAGTGGGTATTTTTAGTTTACGCATTGTGCATCTGGTCAACACCCTAAATATGTAAAGGTGTTGTTGATATTTCTACTCATTATACACTGTTGTGCACAGTAAATTTCCAACCGCAGTGTTGCTAGCACTCGAAATGGCATTTAACACCTAGACCACTCAATGTTACTGTAAACATTCTTGGGGATCTGAGAGGAGGTGGGTGATTATGGCAAAAGAGCATTAAATTTCTGATGAAAAAATAAGATTCTACTGCAGAAGATATTGGAAGCAAAATCTGTGTAATTTGCCAAGAAACAGTAGGTTTAGCTTAATGGAAGAGATTGACATAAAAATTAAGACTTACAAACTTTGGTGTGGGGATCACTACCACTTTAACTGTCACATTAGTGTCATTTATCAGTTGGACATGTAGCATCAAAGCTAACAGAAACACATGCCATGAAATAACATGAGGCTGGAGAAATCTTTGCTGCAATGAGAATGAGTAAGATGAGAATGAAAAATATGACTGATGTGAGTCATTCATATGACTATGTAAAAGTTATAGTCCTGCTTGAAATATGTATTTCTTAGAGGTTTTTTTCTCAGTCAGATGTGTTTAAGAAACATATTTTATAGAAAGATATTATGGGCAAGTAAGTGCACATATGAACGCTTGTCATGCTGCATATATATAAAAACAG